TCAGAAATCCCGGCTGCTTCTACCTTGTATCTCCACTATCTCAACACGACAGCTCCATGTTTGCTACTGAATGGCAAAGGAAGCATGGAAATGGCCTACTGGCTCCCACCTAACTACAAATGAATGTTCTGGGAGGGAGGGAAAGACAAGATGTGAATGAGCACTTGTATTCTCTCCCATAAGCTGTCATATATTAGGTGCTCAATAAAAAGCAGCTATTATAATTTGCTATGAGAACAGTCCTCTTCATTTCTTAAAGGAGTTCTTTTTTTGTTTTTTTAAAGATTTTATTTATTTATTTTTACATAGAGGGGAAGAGAGTGAGAAAGAGAGGGAGAGAAACATCAATGTGTGGTTGCCTCTTGCATACCCCCTACTGGGGACCTGGTCTGCAACTCAGGAATGTGCCCTGACTGGGAATCGAACTGGCAACCCTTTGGTTCATATGCCAGTACTCAGTCCACTAAGTCACACCAGCCAGGGTGCTTAAAGAAGTTTTTGAAAAAAATCAATTTTTACTTGAAATTCACCAACTTTTTCAAGAGCCTATAATGTGACACATGCTTTCAAATACAAGACCACATCTAGTTTTCAAAGGATACTGTAAATTTTAGCAGGGAGAACATACCCTTCTTCACTCAATAGCACTTTTCTGCACTGCTCTTTGCAACAACCTTTATAATCTCAAAAGACTGAGGATTTTCTCTTTCTTTCTAAAGATGTATGTTCAAAATATTAATTTTTGATCATCTGCTACCTTCTACACGACTGAACATTTCTGAAGACCTCGACAGGTGCTTTCTCCTGTGGGGCAGGTATACAGACAAAGGGCAATGGAAGGATAGTTATTTTAGTCAGCTGAGACTGCTATAACAAGATATATCTTGTGGTTTAAACAACAGAAATTTATTTCTCACAGCTCTGGGGATGGCAAAGTCCAAGATCCGGGAGCAGGCAGATTCGGTGACTGGTGAGGCCCTTCTCCTGGTTTGCAGATGGCCACCTTCTCATTTTATCATCACATAACCAAGGGCACTAATTCCATCATGGGTCTTCACCTTCATAACCTCATCAAAACCTAATTACTTCCCAAAGGCCCTACTTTCTGATACTACCCAATTGGGAGTTACAGTTTCAACACAGGAATTTTCAAAGGGACACAAACAGGCAGTCTGTAATAATGATTGATTTTTCTTTTTAAATCAGAGCAAGTATGTCGGCTAAGAAACTGTATTTCACCTTCTAGAAGGACTCCAAGGATTTTAAGAATTCAGCCTCTGTAGATGTTTGATCACACAGAGATTTCCATGGTCTATCCTTATCTACCCTTTATGAGGGACGCTTTTTTTTTAAACTACCTGAGTAAAGTCATTCAGTGGTAAATTTCAAACAGACATGCTGTTAAAGTCCTACTGCAAATGTCAGGGTAGTTTCAGAAATAATCTAACTTCAGAGTTATACCCCAATAACCAGTAAATTATATCTCACATCAGACTCTACTCACAAGCCCATTTGAAAAACACTTAGAAACATTAAATATACCTGAGGAATGACCATATAGTAGCTTCCTGGGAATACCATAACAAATTACCAAAACCTGGCTGGCTTAAAAGAATAGAAATACATTCTCTCATAATTCTGGAAGCTAACAGTCTAAAAAATAAAGGTGTCAGCAGGTTGGTTCCTGCTGGAGGCTCTGAGGCAGAACTCCATCCCATGACTCTCTCCTAGCTTCTGGTGATTGCCAACAATCCTTGGAATCCCTTGATTTGTAAATGAATCACTCCAAACTCTGCCTTCATTATTCTCATCCCTTTCCAGTGTCTCTGTGTGTTAATTCTCTCTCTCCTTTCTGTGTGCATATCATTCATTGTATTCAGGGCCCACCTTAAATCCAAGATAATCTCATTTCAAGATACCTAATGTAATTACATCTCCAAAGACTATTTCCAAGTAAGAACACATATACAAATACTGGAAATTAGGACTTGGACATATCTTTTTGGGGATCAGCATTCAAGTGACCACAGATCAGTCTAAACAACACTGTCCAAGTCAAACTTTTAGGTTGAAAGGGCTGTTTCTATCAGGGCTCCAGAATGACTGATATAACAGTCTGGGAGATTTTGCAGTGAGTAGGAATGTTCTATAATAGGGGGAAGGCAAGTGGTTCTGAGTGGTCCACTACAAGCTAGACACAGTCTTCAAAAGAAAGACATAGTGTATAAGAGCTGGTCAGTAGGTCATGTTCCAGAGATGGACAAGCGGGCTGTAATATATATCCGAATAAATAATTTATACACATTTTTTACGCTACAAGTACCTGAATTAAGGTTTTCTCATCCAGGCATCCATTGCAAAAAAGCAAACACTTCCAACGTGACTATCTCAACTATCTCTAAGTAACATATTGACAGGCCCTGAACTACATAAAGAGCCAGGTTGCCACCACCTACTGACATACCACCCCGCAACTGAGGTTCCTTTGTTTAAGAAATCTTGGTTGATTTCCATAACTGAGCATTTCAGCTACTTGGTTTGCCCCCTCTCATTCCTGTGCTTCAGATCCCTGCTGTAGTAAAGAGTGAACCCATGAAACCCTAGGCACCCACACTCAACCCCAACAAAAAGCAGAACCCCAGGTGCTCTCCTCGCCCTGCCCTCTCCCCTCTGTGCCCTTTCGCCCCCACCCTGCCTCTCTGTGTCGCCCCCGGTGTGCTGTGAAACGTCCAGGTCTTATAAGTAACAAACTTGTGTCTCCTCAAAGTCTCCTGATGGTTATTGCTGAAGGACGTCTTGCTGTCATAATGAGAACCACAAGGGCTAGGCCAGCCACAGCATTGGTTACTGATAGGCTGCGATCAGTACAAAGCAAGGCCAAGCTGGGGAAGATCGGGGAGACAGTGCTGCTGCAGCTCGCGAAGCTGCTGGCACTGGGCACAATAGCCAGCACCTGGGCAGAGCCAGCTACGCCAGGGCTCAGAGCTGGAGGAGCCAAACTTAAGCTCAGACAATTCCCAAATTATGTTTCATTCTCATTTCCCCTTCCTTCTTTAGGTCCACTTCTAGTACCTTGTCACGTGGTCCTTCTTTTTCTCCCCCTGAGGGACTTCATGGAGTGCTGAGAAGAGACTGGGAGTAAGAGACAGAAAACCTGCCTCAGGCTAGGAGTGGGAACAACTGCAGACCCTAGGTGAATCCAGACCAGGGTCCCTGCCTCAGCCCTGTCACTTGATAGCAGTAAAACCTTTGGGGAATTACAGAGCGCTGTGAGCCCGAGATTCTTCGCCTGTTAAATGGGTTTGATAGGCCCTGCCCTGTAGGAAAGACTGCTGGAATGTATGTAAAGTAAGGAAAGCATCTGGCACAACCCCTGACATTGATCTGACATTGTGTGAATCTTCAATGACGGGCAGGAACTTCTACTATTATTTGTCCCCGGACCCTACTGCCTTCTCCTATGCGATTTTGTTTTCATCCAGGACACTCTCAGATAACGCACAGCGCAACGGGAGGCAGAATGTCAAATCAGGCAAAGATGAGGCTTCACAAATAAAAGTTGCTAGTTTTTTCCTCTTAGAGGATATCTTAATTTGGGTATGGGTTAGTCTTCCCTGGCTGATATAACTCAGAGTTCCCAGAATTTAAGGCAGAGGCCAACTCCTTCCTTCCCTCCCAGCTACTCATCCATCCAAAATGCTGTTTCATTCCGTTCACTGCCACCAAAATCTAGACATTGCTTTGAGTTGGCTTAATTACAGTTAAGACAACCTACCTTTACTGTCACTTTAAGGGAGTGGGCTCTGGCTCTCTTCAGGCCAGGGAAGAGTGCCAGCCTAGCAGTTAGTGGCTTCTGAGTACCACCTCAGGGGTCTACCACCATGTCCTCAAGAAGTCCTTGCAGCCGATGTGCCCAGAACACCTGGTTCATGCACTGCGTTAACTGCACTGGGACGAGAGTCCAGGACACCTTCCATACCCACCCCTGGCAGCGATTTCTGTCTGGTTTGTCCACGATCCAGAAGTAACTACCGAGCATTTTTCCATTCCAGGCTTTTCTCTTACTTCGGAAACATACCATCTGAGAGTTTGGCCCCTGCCACCACCCACACCTTAGCTTATGACTAACTCCCTCCAAAGGAATTGCAGTTTCCCAAAGCCCCACACTTCCTCGGCTCACTGCATTTTCACTTGACTGCTCGCATCTGGAGCCCCACCTCCTCACTCCTTGTTTTCGCTTGTTCTTTAGGTATCGGGGGACATCTCCCCATCTTCCCGATGCGAGTGCTGTTCCTAGGCTCTACCTACCATTCTTTGGGTAGCAGTGTGTCTTGCTTGTCCTAGTACCTTCACTATCAACACAGTGCTTTCCAAAGAGAAGGCATACCATTAATGTCTGGCGAATAAATGAGTCAGTGAGCATTTATAAAATTCATTTATTAACATTTGCTAAGAGTACTTCTACTTCTTTGAATAAGCCAAGCAAATCCAGGTATATATCTTTTAATTTCACAGACTAAACTAATATGATTAAGAAATCCAAAAATTAATCAACCGTTACACATTTTTCTCTATTTTTTCTGAGGGGTTCTTTCACATTTCCAAAGACATTCCTATACCAGCATCATGTTATTTCCCTCCAGATCACAAAATAAGATGGAAGGTCCCCCAAATATTCTTTCCAAATATCAAAACTCATTCTTACACCTGATAAACAGCAATGCATGTGAGACAAATTTATTTCATCAACTTAGATTCCAAAGCTAATACAGTTTCCATTAAAAGGAGCAGCATTTGAAAAGTACCTAAAGGAGGGGGAAGAAAAGGGAAGCCTCCAAGTCACCCATACAAAACACAGGAAGGTAAAGTTGTTGTGCACCGTGTTCTCCCCAGCCTGCCTCTGACTCGGACCCTCCTCTACTTGGAACCCCAAGTGCCCTTTTCAGACACAGAGTGAAGATTGAGGGTCGTTCTTCAGCTGGGGAAGGAGAGGCTGCAAGTTACTGCTGTGCCATGAAGTTGGCAGCAGCACGACCCACGGGGGCAACTCTGGCCCGGGCTTTCTCTCTGTCATCTTTTAAAGCCTCCTCATACCAGTATGAGAAGGAAATGGGGTCAGTCCCTTTGATCTTGGCCAAAAATTCCAGAACTTGCAACTTGCTAGTTTCAGCATGTGCCCTTGGACCCCACATGAATGTGTAGCGTGGGGGGTCACTATCGGGCACCTGCTGGTACTCCAGGTAATTCTCCTGCACCCAAGTTACGGTGATGAGCTTTCTAGGCTCCCCCGTAAATGAAGTGCTCCCTCCCCGCATACACTCCTAGCGTATTCAGAAAATCCCAGATGTCTTCCTCAGAGGCACAATTGCCCTCTAAGAAGATCATGCCCAGGATGATTATCAGGAGGCCATTTTTAGGCATGCCCTGGAGGTCACTAAGCATCTCATCATAGGTGAGATCCAGTGAGTTGACAAGGACATAGGTGTGGATGGCAGGGACCACTTCCTTCACGTCAATGCCGGAGATCACCTCCAAACACTTACAAGCTTTCTTGAAGATCACAGGGAACTGACTCTTGTCTTTCCTGCCAACAGCTTTTAGCATTTCTGCCCTTGTAATCGGCTTTCTCAAGCGATACTTGAGGATCATGAAACGCACTAAATTAGCCACCTTCTCATCTAGAGGATCTCTTTCCAGAGACTCGGGGTCTGCAGAGGCCTGCAGAGAGCTCGTTTCCTCACTTTCTTGGGTGCTGGAGCACCCAGCTGATGGGCTCTGAGACAGGTATTTCTGAGGACTCCGGGGAGGGCTGGATATCTCAGCAGCAGGCTGCTCCTGCTCCTCTTCCTGCTCCTCTTCCTGCTCCTCTTCCTGCTCCTCTTCTTGCTCCTCTTCTTGCTCCTCTTCCTGCTCTTCTTCCTGTTTCTCTTCCTGCTCCTCTTCCAGATCCTCCTCCTGCTCCTCTTCCGGCATCTCTTTCTCCTCCTCATCCTCCTCTTCCTCCCTTACCTCTCCCTTTTTTTCTGCCTCTTCCTCCTCCTCCTCTGGGGTGCCTGGGATCACAGGAGAGGAAGGATAGGAAGAAGAGTTGGAGAGGTAGGAGAAGCTGAAAGAACAAGAGGAATTCTCCTCCTCCTCCTGTTCAGCTACAGGGAGCCCTTTATCATTCTGGGCCTCAACTTTGGGCTCAAGTGTGAGGCGTGGATACTTTAAAGGGTGAGACATGTTGACTCTTGTTGGGAGCAGCAGACGGAAGTGTACACAGCAGAGTGGGAGATGAGATCCCACGAGCCTGGGGGAGAGGGGGAGAGAGGGAGAGGGTCAGCGGCCTTGGCAGAGAAGCGTGCCCTTGGCAGCTTCCTCGTTAGGGGGTGCTCCGAGGCCTCACACGGCTCCTGTCTTCGGGGACCGTTTGTCTCCTAGGAACCCATAGGACCATGAGAATGCCCCTGAGGGTGCAGCTGGCCAGAGTAGCCCAAGGCTTCCTGGGCTGACTGTGAGCGGGTGGAGTCTGGGACTGTGGGTGGGGTCTTTGGTAGACACTCAGGCCATGTACCTCACAGTGACTCCTAGCTCTGCCTGGGCTTCCTCTGCTCTGCCCACCGGGGCACACGTGCCTCCCACCAACTCGCTCTCCTCACAGCTTTCCCTCTCTCTGATCTGAGAGTTACCCTCATCCCTCACCACTGATGCCTAGTGGGGCTTGCAAACCCTCGCTGCTGTCCTGAGTCCGGGTCCTTCAGAACAAGCCCTTACCTCCCTGAGAACCCCTGGGCAAAAGTGACGAGGCACCATATGTTGCCACCCCTGCTGGTCCTTCCAGTGCTAACAACAAGGGCCGGGCACCATCAGTCCTGTGGCGGGGCTGTCCTCAATCCTCCCCCATGGTGTTCTCCTTTCCTCCTGACAGGTCCTGACAGGCCCCCTCACTTAGCAGAGCAGAACCTCACTTCTCCAAGATACCTCCCTCACCTTTGGAGAAAGTCAGAGCATATCCTACCCAGCCACTCCTGCCTAGGTCATCCCAGAGCTGGGAACAGAGGACGGTCAGCCCCTGCACATTCCCTTCTTTCTCGAGTGGGGCATACCTTTGTTCCTCACCTAGGGTACTTTCCTGGACTCCTGGTAGAGCTGGGACTCTCCCTCTTCAGGCCAGATGTGGCTCCTGCAGCTGACCTGCCTTCGCACTCAGACCAAGGCCCTCACCTCCCTGAAACCGTGAAGATGAAAGAGAAGAGATATCACATCCAGACGCCCCTGCCCGTGGTCTCCCAGGGCTGACAGCAGGGGCTGAACCCCACCAATGCTGGGATGGGGGTTCCTTCCCTCTTTCACCCCTCAAAGTATTTCCCCTTTGCTCCTGGCAGGGCCTGGGCCTGTCTCCTCTGGTGACCTGAAATCAGCTTCTCAGACCAAGGCCTCACCTCCCAGAAACACGTCCACCCACCCCATGCAGAAAGTGAGGGTGCACCGTAACTCTGCCCTCCTGCCCAAATCCTCTGAGGTGGCTATTGAGGACAAGGTAGAGATTCTGTAAGGGCCCTTCTGTCTGAGTTGGGGGGTAGGTACCCTCAGTCCCCCTTCAAGGTCCTTACCTTACCTTGACTCCTCACAGATCCTGGGATTCTTCCCTCCGCTGATGTCACCAGCTCAGACCAAGGCCTTCACCCTCCTGGGACACTCCAAAAAAAAAAATGTAAAAAGACAACAAATGCAGACCCCTGCCTGGGGTCTGTTCTGGCATGGGGGGCTCGATCCTCCCTGAAAATATTTACTCATCCCTACTCCTGGCAAGGTCTGTCCTTCCCTCCGCTGACCCGAAGCTCCCCAGCCAACCAAGACCTCACTTCCCTGAAACACTTCATCCCCTTGACTCCTGGTGGGGAGCGCATAGCAGATGTGAGAGCTCCTCACATTGGGCCAAGCCTGCCCAGGTCCTCTCAGGGCTGAGATTCTATGGATGCTTCTTTTGGGGGGCGGGGGGCTTCAGGCCTCACCAAGGGTCCTTGCCTTGATGCCTGGCAGAGCCTGAGACTCCTCCCTCTCCCAAACTGGTGTGGTTCCCCCTAAGAGCGCCATCTCCTTAGATCAAGGCCCTCGCCTCTCTGAGACCCAGTTCCAGGCACAAATAAGAAAACGCCATAGAAGGCCAGCACTGCAGTGGTCTCCTGGGTTTAACAGGAGACGCAGGCTGCAACTGGGGCCCTCCGGCTAGGATTGGGGTATTTCCAGGGCAGGCTGAGGCCACAGCTACCTGGGGTGGCATGTCCTCTCCCTCGCTCCCCCGCTCACAAAGCCCTCGGCTTGTTGCCTGGCAGGGCCTGGGACTGTATCCTCTCTAGTAACGTGAGGTCACACACCTCAGAGAAACCTCAGCTCTCTAGACTCCCAAAGGGGAAGTCAGAAAGAAACATAGCTGGCAACCTTGCTGTGTGGCCTCCCAGAGCTGGTGGCACGGTTCAGTTGCTGTGAGGCCCCTCTCTGTGGAGTGGGAGGCCCTCTACATCGTCTTCCTCAGAGTCCTCATTTTGAAACCTCACAGGGTGCGATGTGCCTCCCTCTGCTGAACTCAGGCGACACTGGTCCGAACAAGGTTTTCGCCCTCGCAAGACCCCACTGCCACCAACCCCAGCAACAGGGTAAAAAGGTGAGGGAGGGCCACATTCAGTAACCAAGGGCCTGCTCTCCCCACCTTGACGCCAAGGGCAGAGGACACCTTGGTCCTATGTGTTGTACTGTAGGAAGTGCTCTCGGTGCTTCAACCAACTCCCCGCCCCATTAGGGCCTTGGACTCCTCCCTGTGAGAGCTGCCCTTGCTCCTTCACACCTAGGGTCCCTCTCCATTGAGACCCTCCAGAGAGAAGGAAAGAGAGGCCACATCCCGCCACTCCAGCCCAGGGTGTCCGAGGGCTGAATCCCATCTGTGCTGCAGTGGGGGAAACCTTCTGTCCTCCAGCAATGCACACCATGCCTCCTCAGATGAAGGCCTCACTTCCCAGAGGCAAGCCCCACTACTTCCTAGAGGAAGTGGGAGAGCACCACATGGGACCACCACTGCCTGAGTCCTCCCATGGTTGACAGGGAGCAGAGTGGGGTTTTTGCAGAGCCCCTCCCTCTGTCTGAAGTAGAAGGGTCCCATCATCCACCCTCAGATTACTCATATCAATATTCAGTCCTGACAGGGCCTGCATCTCCTCCCTTCTGCTGACCGAGGCGGGTCCCCCAGCCGAGGCCCACCATCTCCCTGAGGTGCCAGAAAAGGAAGTCGGTGTTGGATAAAAAGGGGCCTCTTTGCTCCAACCCCTGCTCAGTCTTTGCAGGGCTGATGTGAAGGGCACTGTTCTGTAGGGCGCCCATGGGCTGCATTGGGAACTCCTCTCACTCCTCCCTCAAGCTTCTCACCTAGAAGCCTGCCAGGGCCTAGGCCTCCTCCCTCTCCTGACTTGCGACTGAACCCCGCAGAAAAAGCCTCCTGTTCCCCGAGACTCTAAAAGTGTGAAGTCTTTCACTAGCGGAGCTGACAACCAAGGGAGGGCAGTGGCGGGGTGGGGGTGCCAGGAGGGCAGGGGGTTGGGGCACCCTCTCTGAGCTGAGTTCTCCCCACAGTACTTTCGCAGAGGCGACTATCAGAGGCAGGGACACCCCCCTCTGCTGACTCGAATCTTAGAGCTGACACAGTCTCAGGTCCCTGAGACTCTCAACGTGGAAGGTGGGATGGGACCCGCCATATTCAGGAACCCTGCCTGCGGTCTCTCAGAGCGAACAGCAAGTGCACGGCAGGGCTTGTCCCCCGCCCCCCCGCCGCCCCCCATACTCCGCCCCCGCCCACACTGAGTGGAAGGTTTTCCTCCATCAGGCAGGACTAGGCACAGCCTGGGACTCCTCCCACTGCCGACCCGACACGGGGCCTGCAGACGCAACCTCACGTCCCTCAGACTCCTGAGACAACAGAACGGAACCGCCACACCTGACCACCTATGCTTGAAGCTCCCCAGGACTGAGGGCCCCGGCAGGACGGAGCTTGGTCCCCCCACCCACCCTCTACGGTGGGCGGCCTCCCCCTTCTTCCTCAGAGTCCTCGCCTTCACACCAGGCAGAGCCTACCACTCATTTCTCCTTCATTTGACAAAAGTCCACACGCCTCACAGAAAACCTCACGTCCCTCAGACTTCCGAGGCGACAGGGCCGGATACTCCAAACTCCGGAACCCTGCCCGGGGCTCCCCAGGAACCACTGCAGGGGCAGCGAGGCGCTGAAGTCCCTTCATGTGCACTGGGCGGTGCCTCCAGGCCTTCCTCAGGGCCCTCGCCTTGACGACTGGCAAGGCCCAGCACACCTCCATCTGCCCATCTGAAGCCCCAACCCCCCGACCCCGCGAGGGAACATTCAGGACACTGCCTGGCCTTCCCAGGGTTCACGCTAAGGGTAGCGGGGCGTGCGGTGCGGGGGAACCGTGGGGGGCAGTGCGAGAGGCTCTTCTGTATGTGGCAGCCCCCTTCACACCTCCCTCGGGGTCCTCTTTAAGGTGCTGGCCTGAGTTGGACCCCTTTGGACGAAGCCTCTGGTCCCTCTGGCTCTCAAAAACGTAAGCCAGGAAATGCCAAATCCGAACACCTGTGCGTGGATTTTCCCCGGACCCGAGGCCGCCGGCAGGACCGAGCTGGGCCCCCTACCCTCTGAGGTGGCAGGTCTCCCTGTCTTCCTCAGGTCCTCACCTTGACGCCTGCCGGAGACCAGGACTCTTCTCTCCTGTATCCTCACTCCGCACCCCTCAGAGAAAACCTTGCGTCCCTCAGACTTCTGCGACAGAAAGGCCAGATACTCTGAATTCCAGAAGCCTGCCTGAGGCACCTCAGGGACCACTGCAGGGGCTTCGAGCAGCTGGAGTCCCTATATGTGCACTGGGCGGTGCCTCCTTGCCTCCCTCAGGGCCCTCGCCTTGATGATTGGCCAGGCCTAGGACGCACCCATCTGCCCATCAGAAGCACCGCCCTCAGTCTCCGGGAAGGAAGTCTGGAAAGAGAACATCCGGGGAACCGGCCTGGCTTTCTCAGGGTTCACAGTAAGGTCAGGGGGCACGCAGGAGACTCCTCTGCCTTTGGGAGCTCCCCTCACACCTCCCTTGGGAGCCTCCTTAAGGTGCTGACCTGAGTTGGGCCCCTCCAGACGAAGCCTCTGGTCCCTCTGGCTCGCAAAAACGTCAGCCGGGATACGCCATATGTGAACACCTGTTCGTGGATTTTCCCAGGACTGAGGCCGCCGGCAGGACCGAGCTGGGCCCCCCACCCTCTGAGGTGG